AGGCTGCCCTGGCAGTTGCTCCTGCCCACCTGTGGTTAAGTCATTCTGGGTACTCTGGTCTCACCCAGCACTTACCCTGTTCCCACAGCCCCTCCACTTTCTCTGGATGGTAACTTCCAAATCTACAAAGATCCAGACTTGACCTGTTCATTTCCAACACCTAGATATTTTAGAGTCAAACCAAACTATGATCTCTGCACCCCACAAAGCACCTGACTGTCATCCTGGGCCCCCAGATTGCCCAGTGGGTGTGCCTTCACATTTGTCACCACCTCAACCTATGAGCACCCAACATTAGGTCTGTCTGACGACCCAGCTGAACCTCTAAGCCACTCTCCAATTCTGCGCAGCCTTCCTTTTTCTTTTCTTCAACCTCCCAGTGTCCAGCGGGTAGTGTGCCCGGGGAATGCCATCTTCTATGACACCTGTACGAACAGGTGCAGGTCACTTTGTGGACAGGGGTACAAGCATGCAGATGCCTGGTGCCTTACACAACAGAATGTCCCAATCTTCTCAGCTTTTAGGTTCAACCCATCTGCTCACAACTCAGAGCAATTTGATGGGTTCAAGAAATATTGTATGTTTAATAATGAAATGTCTGATGGGGCAGCCAGACACAGACATCTAAAAACAAGCCACACCTGACATGAGACCCATGAGGGCAAGGATCTGGTACCTCTCCTTACGTGGACCATGTACAGTACACAGTAGGCACTTAACAAAAATAACATAAAAACATATATCAATTATTAAAAATACTTTGTACATATTATCTATGATAGTATAAACAGAAAGGAATTAATGTGTAAATATATAAATTGGGATTTACAAATAATGTAGTTTTCTTTATACTAAATAACAAAACCATGTTTTTTAGTCATGTTTCTGACTAAATTTAGTGCAGCTGCTTTTTAGATAGAAAGCTATATATACCTAATGTGAAATACACACATCATTTGTATATCACTAGACTTAATGCAAGTAAGTCTCTGGTAGCAAATGGCAGCTTATCTGGTCTACCTGCTGTTTCCCCAGCCAGCCTTCAGCCTAAATCTACTGGGAGAGACATACTGGCAAGCAGAGTACAGATTATATACATGCTCACTTGCCTGACATAAGACACCAGGGACAACCGTGGTGTTAACACACTGCATCCCTGTAACAAGACTGCTGCTGGATACACAGTGGAGTGAATGTCCTTGCTCTCTTCTTGTTCTAACAAGCACAATGTCTAAATATCCACATATGCATAACTGGTTTCCTGAAATAGCGCTTTCATCTTAGCCTTAAGCAACTTGAAAGCCACAGGACAGTGAGCATGAGTTGTGAGTTGAGAAGTCAGTGTCCCCAAACATTATGATGACACGTTCATGTATAGGAGAGACGCATAGCCACCGAGAAATCAAAGATTCCTGGGGAACGAAATGGTCATTAATACAAAAACAGAACAACAAATACTGCACTCTAAATGGAGAGAAGGAGCAGAGACAGAAGAACACTCTAGGATGCTCTCGAAATTCTGTTTCCAGTTTCCTTTTCTCATTGTTTCACTTGGTAGAATAAAATTATTCATTTGAGAGAAACAATTTTTGGAGATAAGTTTAATAGGGGACACTATCAAGTCACAACAGTCATCTTCTACCCCACACAGATGGTAAAAGCCTTGAATTTACCCCTTGCTCCTGCTTGGCACCCTGAAATGCCCACACAGCCCTGCCTTGGTTTCCTGCACCATGTCATGGTCCGCCGTGACCTGTCTTCCCCATGTCACACCACTGTCAGCTGTGTCAAGGCGCTGACCACCTCCAACAGGTCTCCTCACATCCACTCTGCAGCCCAAACCATCTTTTAGCACGTGGGAAGACTTCTGTACACAAAGACTGCGTTTCTGCCAGTGGAGTGGATGGACAAAGTCTCCAAGCACTTATCCACTCATCATTTAAGAAGCAGAGGTGGCTGAGATTCCCACGGCCCTTCCTTGGCCAGGGTGTCAACCGGCACTTCAACTCCCTCACTTTCCTTTGTCACCCCCTTCTTGTTCTTCACGTGCACCTAGGTCAGTGCACTGCTTAGTTGTACACGATTTTGACCTTTCTATGAAGTTCTACTTGATTCTTAAGAACCTTATTTTTTACTTTACCTTCTGCCAGTCGGGTTCACCATCCGTGTTCTTCAGTTTCCCCTTCTGTATAGTATTCTAGTTTGTGAATATGCCAAAAATTATTTCTCTGTTTCCCTGTGCTCATTTTGTCCAGAATCCTCCCTCATCTTTCTTTGTAACCATTTACAAACTGTTTTAAACCCTCCTATTTTTACTGCTGGTACAGAATGTACATCTGGGTAGAAAAGTATAACCTGGCCCTATGCCAAATATAGGAACTGTGTTGCTGGGCACAGGTGTGAGCGCATCCAGCTTCCATAGATAAGGCCAGACTGCTCCTTAGAGTGGCTGTGCCCATCTGTCTCCCGCCTAGGGGCCCAAAGAGCCTGTGGCTCACACCTTGCCAGCGTTTGTTGTTTTCAACTGGCTTACATTTTGACAAACTTGTCAGAATAAAATGGCAGTCCAGTGTGGGTGTAAACATCATTCCTTGGTCAGTACAGGTAATTTTAAAGGGATTAGTGCACGTCCACGTCTATGTTCAAGTTCTTCTAAATATATTCTTTCCATGATGGAAATTTCATGTTTTTACCTCAATTAAAAAAAATTAGGAAAACACATGTTGAGATATGTTTCACTATATAGTTTTTTTTCACTATTTTAAAATGTTTTTTGATGAACACATTTTCATATCTTATTCCATTTATTTATTTGGTGGTACTGAGGTTTGAACTCAGGGCCTTGTGCTCTATCACTTGATCCATACCTCATCCCTTTTTGCTTTCGTTCGCTTTTGAGATAAGATCTTTTGTTTTGCCTAGAGCTAGACTCAGACTGTGATCCTCCTACCTCTGCCTACTATAGGCTCCTCTGCCTACTCTGCCTAGCTGAACCACCATGCCTACCTTTTACTGTTGATATGCAGTTTCATGAACTACTTGCCTGGGCTGGCCTCAAACTGTGATCCTCCCAATCTCTACCTTCCACCGTAACCAGAATAACAGGCTTGAGCCACCATACCTAGCTTATTTTCGTATATCCAACAGGGAATGGTTATTAGTATTTATTCTCTGGGTAAATTGTTTCTATTCCTACAAATTTTCACTAGCACACAGAATCAAGAGCTCAGTAGTTCACAGTATTAAAACAATAAACTATATGTGAGATCAAAAACAGGCATTTAGGGCTGGGAGCAGGTCAGTGGCAGATGTCACACTTAGCATGCTTAGCATGCTCGAGGGACCCAGGGCAGGAGAACTATCTAGTGTGAGCAACATTCTGCATCTGCAGATGACTCAGCTTTTCAGATGCTCACAAACTACCGGCCAGATGTACTGATGGGAAAATGCCCCTTGCTTGTTTGGTAAGCATGAACAGCTCCTATGCATGTGTAAATGTTATGGACTAACAATTCAGAGGACAGTTATAGCTTAACATCAACTTAACCTCCAGCACACGTGTTTCACTGTTCACTCCTGTAGCGAAGAAACTAACTGGCATTTTACAATTTACAGGACACTTTTACACGAACTTATTATTGTACTGACAAAGCAGAAAGGACGAACCTGGACCCAGCTGTAGCCATCATATGGCCTAGCTATGGAGGCTGCCCAAAAATGAAAGGATTGCAGAGAAAAACAGCTGAGAACTGGACAGAGAAACATTTCCATCGATGCAACTGGAGACTTGGATCAGGCTTAGCTGCAGCCAGATCCACCCTGGCCAGTTCGGCTTAGGCTTCCCTGGCTTGCAGCTGAGAGTTCTGGGAAGGCAGGAGCTAGTCACACCACTCCCTGCACCAGCAGTGCAGCTTCCCTGCAGGAACGAGGGAGTAGTGAACATAGTCTGAGTTGGCGCTGTATTCTAGCACAATCGCTTACTACCTAAATTATCTCAATATGAGCCCTAAATATTAACTAAAACAGACAGCTGGTTTGATGATATGTTGGACATCTTTCCCCAAAGCAAGTAGGAGAGTCTGGCACCTAGAACTCAATGAAAGGTAACAATACGCCTGCTCTCTGTCCTGACAGGGCATTAAATAAGGTATGAAGCATCTGTTACAATCCTTAGGACAATATAAGGTACTCAACAAATGTTAATTCTCTTTGCAATTAAAATCATTAGGCACTGAAGAATGGATGTGGTAACATATGTGTGTAATATATAATTCCAGCTACTCAGGAGGTAGAGACAGGAGGACCAAGGTACAAGGCCAGCCCAGGCAAAAAGTTAGTGAGAACCCATATCAACAAATAAGCTAGGAATGCATACCTGTAATCCCAACTACATAAGAGGCATAAGTAGGAGGACTGCAGTCTGAGGATGGCCCAGGGTAAAAATGAGACCATATCTGAAAAGTGAAAAAAAAAAAAAAGGGGGGGGGGCTGGAGACACAACTCAAGTGACAGAGCACCTACCTAGCCTGGGCAAGGTCCTGAGTTCAAACCCTAGAATCACTAAAACAAAAAAATACTAATAAAAATAAAAACATTAGAGACTGGTAATCATGTTCATCTTCTATCAGTATTTTTCTCATTATTTAAAAAAAAAAAAAACAACTAGGGTTGTAGTGGCTCACGTGGCAAAACGTCTGCCTAGAAAACATAAGGCCCTGAGTTCAAACCCTAGTATCACCAAAGAGAAACTAAAAGGAAGAACACTGACTAACTCTGAAGGACTTTTTAACCACTACTTTCCAGGAATCTAGAAAGACTCCATTAGAGGAAGGAAAACAAGGACCTGAGTGGGTGAAATGAGCCAGGCAATCCTAGCATGTGCCCTATGTGAAACCTCCACAGTGATTTAGGAAATCCAAGTCCTCCAAGGGCAAGGTAACTGCAACCCAGAGATGCAGCAGTCATTCAACAGCATATAGCAGGGGCGATGTTGCACTCACAGTGTTGGGGACGTAGGGTAAACCATAGAACTGCTCCTGTGTCTCCTTGAGAATGTCTGTGGTGGACTTCCTCAGGGGATGCCTGCCGTGGTATATCTGATCCAGGGTGGCATAGAAGACCTAGGCAGAAGAAAGCACTTATTCAATTTTGGTGTCCACTCTCCTATGGACGATGTGGGCCACCAAAGATATCCTGGGTACACCAGAATAACAATGACAAATTACAGATGAAAACACAACAAATATAAATGTGGAGATCATGCCTCAACCTTTCACAACTAAGGATATTATAGAATTCTGAACATTAACATAAAGTACTCTTATTATGTACAATGCAGCAGGTTAAATCTGTGGCCACAAAAATGGAATTTAGACAATATATGTTTAATAAGAAATATGAAAAAGTAGTTACAATTTGTGACCCCCTATATCTAACAAATCCTTTTTGCTTTCTTCCTGGAATCCAGATATATCTTCCGTGAGATGTGAAATAGTTGGAATCCTGGCTTTGTGACTAGAGGAAAAAGACAGTAAGTGGGTGGGGTAAAAGAGGAAAAGGAAACAGCAGCCTAATGTCTGGGGAGTAATGCTGTGACAAAGAATTCCCACTCAGCCACTAGAGAGTTTGGGATGAGGCCCATCAGCCCCCAGGCCTGTGTGAAGAAAAATTCTGCTCAACTAGGGGACCAGGAGAAAGGATCCCTCACCTCTGAACACAGGACAGAGGCCACCAAATCACAGTCAGAGGACAGAGTATTTTTATTTACAAAATACTGAGAACTAAGTTTCGCATGGAAAATCCAAAGTAAAGACAAAGTGCTTGGTGCCACATTTGCCTGAATGCTAGCATGGACTGGAATTTACCTGACACAACAAAGTAAAATGCTTGCTTAAAGGCAGAACTTTGAGAAGCAGCTATGACTGATATGCATCTCCCTGATTCCCAAATCGCATCTGCAGAGAATGTACAGCTGCAGACTTGAAAGAAGGGAGGATTAGTCTAGATAAAAGACAGAATTTAAATTACCTCTGGCTCTAGGTATAGAATTATGGTTCTAAATTATAAAGTCAAGTTTAGACCTTCCCAAGAAAAATACAGACATTTCCTCAATATAAATATTGTGTTCCTCTAAACTGGTAATCTAAACACACAGCTAAATACATACACCTTTCAATTCTATATTCTATAATGAGTAACAATGCATAAGGGTAGTCAGAGAAGCCAAAACTATTCCTGTGTCTCTCTTATATTCTAATTATTAGAAAGTGAAACTTTTTATTCTAACCTGAACTATAAACAGTTTATAAACAAGTGGAATTCAAGACTTTCATTTCGTCACTTGTGCCCTTTAAAAAGGATGTAAACATAGAACAACTTTTTTGAATTATACAAACAGCAAAAATAAATGTACATTTATTTCATGCTTATCTGCTGATGGACTAAACAATTCTAGGTGCCATCAGCCTATTTACCCATTCAGTGGGTTATGCATTATTGGGACCAAGAAGTCCAAAAGACTCTATCTCAACCAATAAAAGCAGGGTAAGGTGGTACACACTTGTCATCCCAGCTACCTAGGAAGCACAAATTGGAGAATTGCAGTCCAGGTTGGCCTGGGAATAAACTCAAGACCCAATTCCAAAAATAACAAATGCACAAAGGGCTGGGGGAGTGACTCACAGCAGTAAAGCACTTGCCTTGAAAATGCAAAGCCAAGTTCAACCCTCAGTACCACAAAACCCAAAAAAACCCAAAAAAAGTCCCCCAAAATTTACAATTCCTCAAACACCGTTTTTAGAAAGCGGAAGCAATTCACTTCCTTTCCACCCTCACTTGTCTCCACTGGACAAGCATGATATGAAAGCACTAGATTGCTCTCGGGCTTCTTGGTCCTGGAGGGTGGAAGAAAGGAAAGGATAGTTTCCCATTTTAAAAGATCATTGGAATAATTGTCTAAAAAGAAATCCCAACACAGACTTCTAAACGAGAGGTCCTTCTACTATTCATATAAGCAAAATCAAAAGACTTGCACCATGGGTGAGGTGGTACACCTCTGTAATCCTAGTATTTGGGAGGCAGAGACAGGAGGATTGCAAGTTCAAGGCCAGTCTGGACTACATAGTGATATGCTGTCTCAAAAACCAAAAAGTAGTATTATCTTTTGCCAAGTAATATTAACTTTTAAAAAATAATCCACTGAATAGTGCAAATCCAATGTAAACTCATGGTTTTGCTTTTCCTCACTGAATAAGTCAGTGGTGCTCGGGACTACACCCAAGACCCCATGTATGCTCTACCACTGAGCTATAACCTAGTCCTAGTCCTGAAATACCTAGTTTAAGGTACAACAAAATTAGAGCTCATTCCTTACTAGGGACTCAATTTTACAAAATTATAAATCAGTAAAAGAGTGGTTTCCCTCTTTTAATAGGTAACTGGGTCACTATAAAGTGTGAACTGCTTAAGATGAAAGGTGAGAATTCAGACCATGGTGACGAGACTGTCAAGATCTGAGAAAGAATATGAATCCCATAAACTGTCTCAGGAATTACAACAATCCAAACATCTGGGATCATGCACATCTGCCGTCCAGAGGACTAACAAAATTTTTGTCTTTATCTGGAAGCCTGAGAAAATGGTTGTGAATATTATCTAAAACTAACTGTAATTACTGTTTAAACTTCACATGTAAGATCACGAATCTTTTTAAAAAGATACACAATGAATAGGAATGTGTGTGATTGCATTTGAGCCCTAATTTGGTTGCTGAAATGTCTGATTTTGGAAGCTCTGTACACCTTGTAGGCTTTGATTTCCCTGATTGACACACCTTGTAAGGACAGCGTGAAGGTGGAATGAGCCAATTTTGGTCAAGTTCTTTGAACTCAGATGAAAGGTGTTCCAGCAGTGTAACTGTGACATGACTGTGCAGTGCTGGTAAGAACTTAAGGTTGTGCCTTTAAGTGGGAGAGTGTCGCTGAAGGACCAGCATGGAGCCAGACACCTACCTGAAGCTGCATGTCGGCGGCAGCACAAACCTTCTTGGACTCACAGAGGCGAGACACCATGTGCCTTGGCAGGCGCTTGATAAAATAAAAGAAGATGTATGTGAGCACAGTGCTTAATAAGCCACTGCACCATATATCCATGTGAGTCAGGAAACTTAAAAATAACATCAAATGGAAATAAGTAATAGAGCCTCATTACAGTTTAAAAATAATAACTTTCAAATATTTTAGTTGACAAGACAACATGAAAACATTCCACTAAAAAAGTGGTAGCTGTCAAATGAGGGTTTGTACTCAAGAAAAACAGGATTATAGGTCAAATCGATGCTGATCTTTAAAATCTATTTAAAACCCAAAGCAGGTACTTCTTCTGTCCCTTTGTTTCCAGTGAGGATCTGCTCAAGTGCTTTCTTGGCTTTTAAGCCCACACAATAACCGCTGGTAGGCCTAAAAGATTAAGATGTCAAGAAGTGAGTGGTAATCCTCGGAGCCAGCCAGTATTAAAGCTGAACTGACATCCTGACAAACGTGCGTGGGAGGGCACCACAGGTTCTTTTTTTCCAAGCTGACTAAATATAGAGTGGGGACATTCTACAATGTCCCTTCATGATTTCAAGCATTCTCTACAAGGCTAATTAGGCCAAATACTAGAATACACGCCTCTTCTTGGTAACAATCGATCTTTAAAATCATTAACATCGACATTCATTGAAGAAACCTACCAGTTTATACAACTCTACTTATAATATAGATTAAGCTAAAAGCCCCTCTTGAAGAGAAAACACATTATACAATAGACCAGTGGCAGGAACTCAATAGTCCACTTATGTAAATTACCAGCCACGAGTTAGAAGATGGGCTCACATTCTAGGAGAGAAACAGTCACTTCTTTTTACATCTCCAGGCCCCCGCACAGGGCCTGGCATATATACTAGCCCTTCGGTAAGGATTGCTGAGAAGTGACTGACTATAATAGGATTTGGTGACAACTCAGACACAAAAACTGCAAAAATGTTTTCTCTCCATTTACCTATAAGAAAAGCAAATCAAACCAGGAGTGGTGAATCACTCCTGTAATCTCAGCCCATGGAAAAATGAGGCAGGAGGATTGTAAGTCCAGGGCTAACCTGGACTATGTAATGAGCTCCAGGTCAGCTTGTACTACAAAGCAAGACCCTGTGTTAAAGAAAGAAAAAGGAAGGAGAAAGGAAAGAAAAAAAGAAGGAAAAAGAAAGGGAGGAAATGGCAAGAAAGAAGAAGGAAGGGAGGGAAGGAAGGGAGGGAGGGAAGGAGGGAAGGAAATAAAGAAAACCCAAGAGAAGAGGTGATTTTAAAATTGCAACACAGACCGCAATATACCATGCAGTGTAAATTCTGGTACAGGGTAAAGGTCCAGGACTTTCTGACACTGAAGCACTCATAGGAAAGAAAACTGTTCTCAAATGGGATTTTTTTTTTTTAACACAAGATTAAGTCACATCTGCCTTGCTTGCAGCAAAATCATTGGGTTTATTTCAATGTTGCTTTATATTACAGCTTCTGCTGACAGGATTTGAGATGCTCACGCTTCGTAACATTTTAATAGCTTTACTTTCACATTACAAGTGTACATGGAAGAATGATATCTTCTCGTTTAACTAACAAATATGAAAATTACTATATAAGCCCTCACTGTTGGGCACCAGGGACCAAAGTGGTGACGGGCAGACAGGGCACCTACCCAAGAGCTTCCCAGCCAGCATTCTCCATGTAAGCGCTGATTTCAATCACTGCCAAGAGTGCCTAGCAGAAGTGGTATAGGACATGGTGAGACCAGGTAAGAGGAAGATGTGCATAATTAACAAACCTTAATTAAGACACAGAAGCTGGGTGGGATGGAGGAAGAAAGACACATGCATTTCAAGCAGAAGGAACAAACAGTAGAAGTGACAAGAATGGGCAGAAGAGAGCAAGGCTGCTGGCAAAGGTGGGAAGAGCACAGGGCAGGGAAAAAGCCCAGGAGGAGAAGCTGGACCAGGCAAGGACCCTGGCTCTACCCTCGGGCTCCACTCTAAGGGAAGGTGCGGGAAGTTTTAAAATTCCCTTGGCAGCAAAGTAGATACAGGATAGGAGGAAGGCAGAGGTGGGTCAGAAAAAACCCCTTAGAAGGCTACCGTTAGCAACCAGGCTTAATACTCTAGCAAGCATCCACAATGTTGGAGGGAGGAGCCCAAGAGAGTGGGGAGAGGTGAGCAGAAATACAGACCTCCCTCACTGGGCTCTGGAAGTACCTGAGAGGTTCACAGAAGAGGGCAGCAGTGGGAAGGTAAAGGTAGAGAAATTTGTTTTGTTAGGAAATGCTTAAACTGCTTTAAGGAAAAAATGTTGATAGGGAAGGTTGCAGAGGGGACAAAACCTTGTTGGGTCTGGAGACCTAAGGCAGATGAGTGAGTATCCCACCCACCTCCACCCCCACACAGCACTATCATTCCTGCATCCTAAAGAGATGGAGGCCTGCACCCTAAAGAAAGATACAGGGTCTGACAGATCTGCCACAGGGCTGATGAGCAAAATACTCTCAAGATTGTTCCTTTCCCCCAATAAAGGTGCTAACTTATACCAGTTCACCTAAGAAAGTAGGTGAAATGCATGACCAATGAGAAGCAACCCCCCCCCAAACCAGAGTTAAAATGTCCATAAAAACCCCAGCCTTCACCTGAAGCAGAGAGCTACTGGCTTCTGGGATCCACTGTACTTCTCTAGCTATAGCTTTTCCTTTCTCTCTAATAAATCTTATTTTTTATATACTGGCTTTGGCTCATCATTCAGCTGCCTGGCCCGTGAAGGCAAGGATCCTCAAGACCAGCTTGCAATACTTTTGACACTGGCATGTAACAACCTCAAGAAGAAAGAAAGAAGCGATCAGGAGAACACAAGATAGGCTCCTGAGAAGGCAGGAAAAGGAACTGCATAGACAACTGGAGAAAGGGTAGCTTAGGTAGAAGGGAGGGCGGGAGGGTCCCAGAAGGATCCTTTTGAGACAAGAGCCCTTCTTGAGCTCAGACAGGAAGCAGTGGGGAGGGAGCTGTACCGAGGTTAAGGAGATGAGACAAGCTGTGGAGGGTGCCGTGGAGAAAGGTCCACCAGGCAATACAGGGATGGCATAGTATACTTGGGAACAACCCAGGTGCCTGCCTACAGATGCAGGTCAGAAAGGTGCTAAAGGTAGACAGAGGGAGGGAGTAGAAGGGCCGGGAAAAGGTGCCCTGCTGAGGTGGGAGAGAGCAATAGGGAATGGGGGGAGGACAGGCAGGCCAGCTTCCTGCCACAGCTGTGGTCAGGCCTCTGTGGAAGGCTCAGTTCCCTGCTTGATTCACAATCACGGGGACCCCAAGTCTTAGCTCAGACAGCCAGGCTCCAAATCCCCCTTTCCATTCATCTACAGGCCAGTATCCTCAAGATCCAAACCTCCACAGTGTTGGAATTAAAGACCCTCCGGTGCTGAAAACAGACACACAAGAGACAGAAAATCTTGACAAGGCAGTTTCTCTTGATCAAGAGCGTGCAAGCATGTGCCCATTCCAGCTAAGCAAGCATGCAAGCACAAAATGGCTGACAGTGGCTCCTCCTTACATCCCTGATGCAGTCGTACCTGCCCCTCACCTGGGATTTGTCCAGGTCAAAGGTTCACAGTCTTTCCTGCTTGGCTGAAAGGCTTGGGGGATGGGTTAGGACATGCAGTTTGGCGGGCAATGGAGTTGTACAGGAATCCAGAAGAAGCAAGGGCCCTTTAAACATGCAAGTCACCTAAGATGGCGACCTGAGGAATCTTTAAGTAATCTAAGAAGATAACAAATATTTTGATAGAAAAGATCATTTTTCTTACAACAGAAAATGCCCCACGACAAACTCAGTGAGACTTAATCCTTTCCTTATTAGGTTTGCAGTAATGCCAAAGATGTGAAGAGAAAGTGTGTGCAAGGACAGGGACAACTGAAAATGGTGCATCAAAAATTATGTAAAAATTACATATTCAAAACTACATGGTGTCAGCAGCAGAATGCACAGCAGTGGTGTGTGGTCCTCTACCCAGCTGCCCTCCATTTCTTCCTTCCTCATGGTGTCCTACAACAGATCCTCTTTCCTCTAAAAAGCTTCCCAGACAAACTTTACAGCTACAGCTCCACCCTCTGCCTGAGGGAAAGTCTTGGACTCTTCTCAGACTCTTTTTTTCCTTTTTGTGATACAGGTTCTCAAGTCTCCCATTTGTCTCATCTTGTTCCCCAGACTATCAGTTTAGGTGAGTCCCTTTAATTGGTTCCACCCTCTTCAGCCTCTAGAGCCCCCCCCTGCAAACTCCCCACTGTTTGTTCATTGGTTGTATGTTGTATGCAACATAGCTTCCTGAGTCTTCGTTGAAATACAAAGTAACTATTAAAGAGTATTTTATCAAAAAATTTTTGTTCAATGCCAGACACCAGTGGCTGACGCCTATAATCAATCCTAGCTAGCTACCTGGGAGGCTGAGATAGGGAGGATACAATCTGAGGCCAGGAGGGGAAACAGTTTGCAAGACCCCTCATCTCCAAATAACCCAAGCAAAATGGACTGGAGGTATGGCTCAAGTGGTAGAGCGCCTGCTTTGCAAGCGTGAAGGCTTGAGTTCAAACTCAGTACCACACACAAAAAAAAGTCTAAATTCAAAATTTTGTAATAATTATTTCAAAATATAAATTAAAAAAAATTAGCTAATAGGCCTGTCAGTGGCTAAACTGTTTTTCAATATTCTAACCGTGATGATGCTAAGTCTTTTGTTATTACAGTTTTAATCCTTCTGGAACATTGCAAACAAACCCATGAAAAATGACTCTAGCAAGTACTTAACTGTCAAATGGGTTAGATTTAGAATGCTTGCTTCAGTTAGGTTTTGTTTTGTATTTTCCTTGTAAAACTTTGTAAATGTTGTCTATTAACATTGTGCAGAAGTACAGCTTCTAACAGTAACAACTAGAGCAACATTATTTATGAGATACTAGAACTTCGCCTAAACAACAGGCAAAATTAAACTTACTGGGTCCAGGTAAACCCAGATTAAA